TTTAAGAGTAATATTGTTTGAAAGTGAGTTGAATCGGGCAACTGAATTGATTAAAATGGAAATTGCAGAATGTACAGTACGCGTATGCAACGAATGACTCGAATCAGAACAGAAACACCTCGAATACTTATATGTCGACACAAAACTCCACCACAAATAATCGTCAATCGCATCAGAACACGTCGTCTGCATCGAGTTTATCGTCAGTTGCAGAGACGATTCAAGCGGTAATCATGAATAATATTCGACCATCGAACTCAGCCGAATCGATTGTGCCTTCCCCTTCAACAGTAGCAGCAGTTCCGTCAACGGCATCAGCCTCAGCAGGAGCCGCGATAACCACAACCACAGCATCCTCGACAACGATGACGACGAGCACACCGAGTACACCGTTGTTTAGTCCACCTCGTTTACCGACTTCAAGCCAAGTGGCCAGCACGGTCAACGAAAAGAGACAACGACGCGCGAATAGGTGAGTTTTATCGATAACTTTTATTTCCTTATCGTGAATAGTTCATGCAGCAAAGGAGCATNTAGGTGAGTTTTATCGATAACTTTTATTTCCTTATCGTGAATAGTTCATGCAGCAAAGGAGCATTATGTCCGCAGTGTTGTTTGAATGATGATGAATTGAATAGTTGAAATGTATTCGGTTTCATTATTTAGCGGTCGGTATATAATGATATTATATTTTGTTGGACGTTTTCACGTTCATTTGGGTAATTTTTTATCTGCAGTAGTGTTCAAAAAATTGTCTGAAGAAGTCGTTCGGAAGGAACGGAGAGTATTTTAAAGTGTTTTTGAAGAATTATTGAGTTGTTTAGACTCGCATGGAAACTTTCTGGAGTGTTTATTACCGTGGAGAACTGCAGCGATATTTATCGGACATACTTGTGATGAAATGAGAGTGTGTTTTTGTTTTTGAAATGAGCAGACTGTGAGATTTTTGATGAGATGGTCGAATGGAGTTCAGTTGAGAACATTGAGTGGATAGAATAGAATAGTTGATTGAATGGACGAAAGGAAGGAAGTAATATTTCAGATTGCATGACTATTTTGAAAATGCAAATAAATTGGTGGAGAATGCGGATACAACGACACCATTCGACAATTTAGCTGATGCCCTGAAACGATTGTTGCCGTTCAGCGTTTATAATGAGCCACAACTCAGCGAAGCGATTCTTGATCAATGTAAATTTTATACGTTTTGGCTTATTTTTTGCTTTTTTTT